AGAGAGAGAGAGAGAGAGAGAGAGAGAGAGAGAGAAACACACGTAGAGCCCTTGGTAACATGGTCCCCTTCCACTAAAAATTCTTACGTACATAATGATAATGTTAACGAGCTGATTTATAGTAGTCTGTAGAAACATAGAACCAAAGTGAAACCACGCCACTGACGCTGTCCCAAACAGATCAAGTTTAGGTAGATCTAGAATCCGAAACAATAGGCCTACAACGCTTAACACATACCGTAAGCATTGAATAAAACCAGTATACCACAATTCCCAATCGCAGTCACTGGGATTTGCTCATTACAAATACAATGTAATTATGATAAGAATAAAACTGAAGTAAACGGGAAATAATTCACGAAAATTTCAAACAAGAATAGGAACGTATTAAATTATGTCCCTTTAATCTACTGCATCTAACCTTTAACCAGCGTCATTTTGATAGCAGTGGCCAGTGGCCGCTTTGTCGGCTAACCATCGGAATACGACTAGAGGTTGACTATCGGCAGCAAATCGACCACGACTGAACGGTAGGGCCTAATTGACGTCGGACCAACGTCAGTGCAACATTACAATCCGCTTGTCTGACATGCCGACTCAATGCGGTACTAAATTTAAATAGTTCCAGCTATATTTGGCCGCTTTTAAGAACAAGGGGGCTAACCCGATAAATGCAGCTTTTAGAAAATCGAAATTAAAGTTTTTGGATCTTTATTCAGATTCTTTAAAAGACAAGGAGAGTTTTCTCTATAACCAAACAAATATACACACCAATGAAACCAAACTTCTCCTATAGGTAGGGCAATGTCCACTTTTGGCGTAGGTCAAGATTTCTGAAAACCACCGAAATTTGGGTTAGCCCACTAGGCACTAGGCTTGTCCTCAAAAGCGACTATTTTTTCATGTACAAATTTGGGACGGTGCTGTGCATTTGCTGTACGGTGCAAAAATGTTTTCATCCTGACCTTGAGAAGGACAGAACATTTAACCATTTAAGACAATTTTTAGACGTATCGATTTTAGACCACCAAGGGATCTTTAACGTACACACAGATTTTTCGCCCTTGTCTAAGAAGGCTAGGCGTAGATTTTTCGTACCGGAAGATCAGTAGTGTGGCAGAAAGATAACGGTAAGAAGGAGCCAAGGAATAGCAGTAGAAAGACTGCAGAAATAGTCATGAGCCCAGAGGAAGGGGCAAAGGAGGTGGGGGGGGGGGGGGGACAGAAAGAGGAGACGAAAGCAGAACATTGCTTGAGAGCAGGAACGGAAGTGAAAGGAGACAATTTCAGAGAAGAAAATTTTTCGGTCCCTACCCGGATTCGAACCCGGGATCTTTGAATGAGAGGTGAACACCTGAAACCTCTTGGCCACGAGAGCCTCCCCCCCCCCCCCCCCCCCCCCCCCCCCCTCCTGCCGGTGTACTGTAAACCTCGTTACATGTATTCACTTTGAAACGTTTGGTTTGGTTGTGCACATTGTGAGCACAGAGAGCAAAAGCACACTGCAAGGCAGTGGCGTAGCGTGGATTGCACACTAGGTGGTGCGTAATTGGAAAGTGAGCTAGATCTAAATGGACAATAGGCTTAGTAGCTACTATTAACTATTAAGATTTCTAGAGAAAGTCAATTAGAATCTGCGGGATATCCCGTAATCTACACCTATCGATATTTACAACTGTTTCTAGATGAAACCGCATAAAAGCTGCAATAAAGTGAAATGATACTTAAATCTACATCTCACTATGCTCACAATCTGAGAAGATTTAATTCTAATAACTTCATGCAGCACCAGGACTTAATACACAATAGAGGGAGACAACAGTCAGTTTCGATACCCATTCTTCATTGAGTTACCGTAGAGGCGTAGACTCTACTACTACTAGCTAGTAAGTGTAGTAGGCTAGATAGGCTCGCGGAAACTTGGATCAGATATTTAGCTTGCACCGAATTGGTGCTGCGAAGAACAGTTTCATATGCAACTTCTCCCCGCCCACCCATAACCCACTCTCCCCACTTGTATATGTTGACTTCAGCACCCTATAAAACCATTTTCATTCTATGTCTGTTGTACCGCTTATAACTGTTTTTTAAACACAATAAATGTCTTTTTGATGGATATAAAGCATTTTGTCCTTTATTTCATTTTTGGGATTTTTATTTTTTTACAATCCTCCCACGGCGATCCACTTCTCCCCACTCTCCCCAACAGACACACAGAATTCTACACTTATTAATAGACTTATGTGTATAGACATCAAATTGTTGTCGGACGACGACCCCAAGGCGTTCTCAGGGCGGCAGCTGCCATCGGCCCGACGACAAAATGCCCGATGTAGGTCCGATGTGGATCTAATTGCAAATGAAGACTACGGTGTAGAGTGTACTAACAGTATAATTAAATACTCTCTGGTACTAATTGGCAAAATCAGGTTGGCAGATTGGCAGTCAACTCGTATAAAATCTGCCCACTAATAAGTCTGTTTGGCGCGTCTTTCTTTTATCCGGCATCCGGTCCGGTCACGAAAACAAACATGTCTTACCCGATCACCAGTCACCTGAGTCGAGTTCAAATCGATGCTCAAAGTAGCATTACATGGTGACAGCGGGTGGTAAAGTATCATTATTAACGGTAAGCATTGAACTAGTTTATTATAAAGTAAATAGATCTAGAATCTAGATCTAGATCTAGACCGGAGCCTCGATACAATGCACAATGGCACAGGCACAACACACGTATCGAAAGGCAAAGTAAGGCACCAGCCATGTGCTTCCCCGGATCTAAAGACAAACGCGAAGAATTCAGCTTAGGCCCTATGGCGACAACGCATTAGATTCTAACCTGTATTCGGAAACAACGGGTCTAAAAGACAATGCACTGGTCCCATATATCCTCGAAGCACTAGATCTAGAAATCTAGATCTAGATAATGAAGGCCTGAAAATGTACAACGCCATTAGCTCCTCATTCACTCAACAACAGAAAGAGAGCCCAGACGCGATACTCAACGCATTCGCAGAAAGGTTACACAGGTAACCTCAACAAATTTCAGAATCACCAGACTAGATCTAGAATCTACATCTAGACTATCCACACTTGAAATGTGTTGAAAAGAAGGGAAGGAAGGATACTGAGAGGAAGGAGACAAGGAGGAAAAAGAAAGTGAACGAGAGCGAAACTTATAGTGAGAGAGGGTGTTCACAGTTGCACCTGTAAGAGTAAGAGCACATTGTCTGTTTATCATGTATCACAGTAAAGTATGATTCTGTGACACTTGTGCATAATTGTTACAATGTAGCTGTTCTGGTACATGTATAGTCACCAAAAATGTCCTTTGTGGATGAATAGAGTTTGTTTTATCTGATCTTACCTTAAGGTGAAAGACAAGTATCCTGTCACCCAAAGTCCAAGACCATCCTCACGACGGAGGAAGAAAACAAGTTGGAGGAGTGGCTGACAGTTTCAGCTAGGCGTGGCGTGGGGAGGATCATTGCGGATCTCAGCCTTGTTGTGCAGAGAATCCTCAACAGTGAGAGCAGAACAACATTATTCAAAGGTTTTTACTTTGTACTTTTTACCTAGTCTTCATCATAAAGCTGCCTGCGTCTGTAGCACAATTGCTTGGCGCTTCGCTATTTCCCGCAGAGGAGGAGGGTTCGATGCCCACATGGGACGGATTTTTCTTGTGTTTTTTTTTGCTGGGACGTTGCGTCCCTAACAGCCTGGGTTGGCCCTGACAAGTAGGTCAAAGCCCGCCTCCTTAACAAGGTTGGGTTGATTTAAATCAGTTGATTTTTTAAATTTAAATCAACTTGATTTTTTAAAATAAAAATCAGTGATTTAAATCACTTTTTAAAAAAATTATTTTTATTCAGTTTTTACACATTTCAACATTCAAAATTCCTTTCCTTGGTTTCATAAAACAGATATAAGGTTTAGTAGACTAATATATTCATGCTTAAAAGTCTGCTTTCCCCCCTTTCACTGTAAAATAATACAGTATTCAATTTACTTTTTTTTCCATACTTGAAATCAGAGCTGGGTTGATTTAAATCAGTTGATTTTTTAAATTTTAATCAACTTGATTTTTAAAATAAAAATCAGTGATTTAAATCACTTTTCAAAAAAATGTATTCAGTTTTTACATATTTAAACATTCAGAATTCCTTTCCTTGGTTTTATTAAACAATAATATAAGGTTTAGTAGACTAATATAATCATGCTTAAAAGTCTGCTTTCCCCCCTGTCACTGTAAAATAATACAGTTCTCAATTTACTTTTTTTTCATAATTGAAAAACAGGGTCGGGTCGATTTAAATCAGTTGATTTTTTAAATTTAAATCAACTTGATTTTAAAAATAAAACTCAGTGATTTAAATCACTTTTAAAAATGTATTCTGTTTTTACATCTTTAAACATTCAGAATTCCTTTCCTTGGTTTTATAAAACAGATATAAGGTTTAGTAGACTAAAATAATCATGCTTAAAAGTCTGCTTTCCCCCTTGTCACTGTAAGTAGTAATATAATACTGTATTCAATTTACTTTTTTTTTCATAATTGAAATTAGCATTTTCTTTTTCTTTTTAGACAAACACAAGCGCGCGCGCACACACACACTGTAATAAAATGCAAGTTTATCTCTATGCATCCCCCCCCTCCATTTAGACTGACATTTTCTTCATTTTTTGTCTGTAGCTATAATTCACTGCATAGCAGATTAAGGCTTTCTAAAATTGCAGTTGCTTAAATTAGTCATTAGTTAAAATAAAGACAATGCATTTTGCACTAAAACAGCTTACTTTTAGCCACCAAAAATCCCAAACTGTGTCGACATTTTTTTTTAAAATAAAAAAAATCCGATTTAAATTTTAAAAATCTCCTTAATGATTTTTATGGTGTCGATGGGGCTATAAAACTTCTACAAAAATAAACTGCCTGCGTGGCTGTGGGGTCGAAGGTCCTGTAAGCCTTTGCCTAATCAATTCCATCGTATCATTTGAACAAGTTCAAGATCACAAATGTCAGGACAAACAGATTTTTTGTGATTGTTGTTAATTAACAGAATGCTTGGTTCATTACTATCGAGAGACTAGTAACGATATTATCCATAACTTTCACAGACAACCTGCCGGGGAGAAGCGGGGTGCGCGCTTTCTTCGAGCGCCATCCGAAGCTCCGACAGAAAAAAGCCATGGTTCTTGGCGACCACAGGGCGAGGGTGACGCAGGAAAAGATCCGGGCATGGTTCGAGGAGGTGGAGAGGAATCTGTCCGAAGATGGGGTGGACATCAAGACCATCGACCCCCGGTGCGTCTTCAACGCCGACGAGACTGGCTTCCCCCTCCACTCCTCTTGGCAGGTCATTGTGACAGACGAGGGCAACCATCACCCTTACCTCATTGGCAGTGACAACAAGCGGCAGATCACTGTCCTCAGCTGTGCCTCTGCCAGTGGTCGCCTCTTGGCCCCCACAGTCATCTTTCCCGGTCAGCGCTGGACCTTCAAGCCCTGGGAAGATTTCCCGGAGGCTTCAAGCGTCCAGACATCCAACGGCTGGATTAACACCACGGTGTTCCGGACGTGGCTGGCGGAAACCTTCATACCAGCTGTGGCTGACCTTCCTCGGCCCATCGTTCTTTTCTGTGACGGGCACACCAGCCTGGAGGTTCACGACCTGTGCAAGGAGCATGGTATTGTCTACTACCTGCTCCCTGCACATGCGTCACACCTCGTTCAGCCCCTGGACCTGCTCTTTTATGGAGTCCTGAAGGAGGAGTGGAGAAAGGGGCTGCACGACCACAGGAACATCGCCCGAGTGGGAGGAATCTACCCGAGGACCTTTATGTCCGTGTTCAAGGACGTTTGGACACGGGCATATGGGGAAGGCAGAGAGGCAGTGCTGGTGAAGGCATTCAGGAAAAGTGGGCTGTCTCCATGGGACCCGAATGCCCCTGACTTTTCGAAGTGTGAGATCAGCAAGGTCTACGAGAAGCCAGCAGCCCCTGTCTCCACAAGTTGTGATGAGGTTCCTCCATCTGTTACTGCTGTGTGTGCTGATGATGCTGTGTGTGAAGATCAGGGTTGGGTTGATTTAAATCAGTTGATTTTTAAAAATTTAAATCAACTTGATTTTTTAAATACAAATCAGTGATTTAAATCACTTTTTTTTTGGGAATTATTTTTATTCAGTTTTTACATATTTCAACATTCAGAATTCCTTTCTTTGGTTTCATAAAACAGATAAAAGGTTTAGTAGACTAATATATTCATGCTTAAAAGTCTGCTTTCCCTCCTTTCACTGTAAAATGATAGCCTACTGTATTCAATTTACTATTTTTTCCATAATTGAAATCAGAGCTGGGTTGATTTAAATCAGTTGATTTTTTAAATATTTTAATCAACTTGATTTTTAAAATAAAAATCAGTGATTTAAATCACTTTTTAAAAAATGTATTCAGTTTTTACATATTTGAACATTCAGAATTCCTTTCCTTGGTTTTAATAAACAGATAAGGTTTAGTAGACTAATATAATCATACTTAAAAGTCTGCTTTCCCCCCTGTCACTGTAAAATAATACAGTATTCAATTGACTTTTTTTTCATAATTGAAATCAGGGTTGGGTTGATTTAAATCAGTAGATTTTAAAAAATTTAAATCAACTTGATTTAAAAAATAAAACTCAGTGATTTAAATCACTTTAAAAAAATTTATTCTGTTTTTACATCTTTAAACATTCAAAATTCCTTTCCTTGGTTTTATAAAACAGATATAAGGTTTAGTAGACTAATATAGTCATGCTTAAAAGTCTGCTTTCCCCCTGTCACTGTAAAATAATACAGTATTCAATTTACTTTTTTTTTCATTATTGAAATTAACATTTTCTTTTCCTTTTTAGACAAACACAAGCGCACGCGCGCACACACACACACACACTGTAATAAAATGCAAGTTTATCTATGCATATTACCCCCCCCCCCCTTCCTTTTAGACTGACATTTTCTTCATTTTTTGTCTGTAGCCATAATTCACTGATATATATAGCAGATTAAGGCTTTCTTTTGCGGTTGCTTAAATTAATCATTAGTTAAAATAAAGACAATGCATTTCACACTAAAAGAACATACTTTTAACAACCAAAAATCCCAAACTGTGTCGATATTTAAAAAAAAAAAAAAAAATCCGATTAACATTTTAAAAATCTTGATTTAAATTTTAAAAATCGACTTTTTAAATTTTTATTTAAAAAATCAAAAAAAATCACCAACCCTGGTGAAGATGATGTTGTTCCTCGTTCTGTTGTGTGTGCTGATGATGTGTGTGCTGATGATGTTGTTCCTCCGTCTATTGTGTGCTGATGATGTTGTGTGTGCTAATGATGTTGTTCCTCCGTCTATTGTGTGCTGATGATGTTGTGTGTGCTGATGTCGTGTGTGCTGATGATGTTGTGTGTGCTGATGTTGTTGTTCCTCCGTCTATTGTGTGTGCTGATGATGTCGTGTGTGCTGATGATGTTGTTCCTCCGTCTATTGTGTGCTGATGATGTTGTGTGTGCTGATGATGTTGTAGCCCCCCGGGGCAGTGCCACTGACTGTAGTGTCTTTAGGCCATTCCGAAGGGGGGGACATTTCTCGTTCAAGCATAGTACAATTGTAAATGGGCTGATTCATGTCACGCTCATAACTGAGCCTGATCTACAACAGGGAACTGCTGCTTTTTCTTTCCTGTTCCTTACTATTGTCATTTTCCTCTACTTCTTTTGTATGTTTGTCACTCTCTTGTGACATGCTATTTTTGGGGTGCCTTGATAGTCGAAGCAGACCTTATGCTAATGAAGCTAGAGAGGTGAGCAGAGTAAGTCTGATTCCCTGTAAAGACTTCTCTGTTGACATCCACCCCTTGGCGCTCATATGACCTTATGCAGTTGCGAGCACCGTAAAACCCTCTACTATAATTTTTTTTTAAAGATGATGTTGTGTGTGCTGATGATGTTGTTCCTCCATCTGTTGTGTGTGCTGTTGATGTTGTGTGTGAAGATGATGTTCCTCCGTCTGTTGTGTGTGCTGATGATGTTACGTGTGAAGATGATGTTCCTCCGTCTGTTGTGTGTGCTGATGATGTTACGTGTGAAGATGATGTTCCTCCGTCTGTTGTGTGTGCTGTTGATGTTGTGTGTGAAGATGATGTTCCTCCGTCTGTTGTGTGTGTTGATGTTGTGTGTGAAGATGATGTTCCTCCGTCTGTTGTGTGTGCTGATGATGTTACGTGTGAAGATGATGTTCCTCCGTCTGTTGTGTGTGCTGATGATGTTACGTGTGAAGATGATGTTCCTCCGTCTGTTGTGTGTGCTGATGATGTTACGTGTGAAGATGATGTTCCTCCGTCTGTTGTGTGTGCTGATGATGTTACGTGTGAAGATGATGTTCCTCCGTCTGTTGTGTGTGCTGATGATGTTACGTGTGAAGATGATGTTCCTCCGTCTGTTGTGTGTGCTGATGATGTTACGTGTGAAGATGATGTTCCTCCGTCTGTTGTGTGTGCTGATGATGTTACGTGTGAAGATGATGTTCCTCCGTCTGTTGTGTGTGCTGATGATGTTACGTGTGAAGATGATGTTCCTCCGTCTGTTGTGTGTGCTGATGATGTTACGTGTGAAGATGATGTTGTTTCTGCCCCTTCTGCTTCTTTTTCAGCTGTAGACCTTGCTGGCCCTTCCCCGACTGTCCCCTGTTGTGAGTGGTCAACTGACCTTGGTCTTGGCTTCTCCAACTCAGGTCTGGAATTTTCTAGGATTGAACCCGAGGACTTCATGGACAATATAGCAGAGTTTCAGCTACCTATGGTCTCAACACCAGCTCAGGGTCCTGTGGACGATCAGGACCATGACTATTGTCGTCCTGAGCAGGCGTAGAGACCAGAGGAGGATGATGCTTTTGTTCTGGACAGCCTCATTGATCATATTATTGCCACTGGATGGACGGCAGCGGACATGTACTGGGTCCGCCGTCGCCAGTGGCATAGATCTAATATCAAACCGAATGAGAATGATGGGGCCTACAAAAAGTACCTCAAACTGTACAACCAGTAGATACCAGCCCCCTCATTTGACAACCTGCCGCTTCCATCGGGCTGGAATTTTAAATTATCAGGTCAAAAGCGAGCTCAGGTCCCCAAGTACGTGTCAGGGGCTAGGTACAAAGAGTGGGAGGAGGCAAGAAAGCTAGAAGAAGGAAGGAGTGGAAGAGAGGAAGAGAGAGAAAAAGGGTGGAGAAGGAAGAAGAGAAAAAGAAGAGAGAAGAGGAGAAAGGGTTAGCAAAGTTGGAGAAGCAGAGAGCAGGGAAGAAGAAGAAACAGGGAAAGAAGACGAGGAAGTGTGAGGAGGAGAAGGTAGTTTGGGTAGGTGAAAGTGGGAGTAAGGGAAGGAACTTGGAAGAGGAAAGTACAGGCAAAGATGTTAAAGAAAAGGAGAGAGTGAGGAGGAGACAGAAGAAGAGGATGAAAAGGAGGTGGGATTAGAGTATGACGATGACAGTTCTGTGGATGAGAGTTGTATGAGAGACCCGAATGCATGTTCTTGTTGTGGGGGGGGGGGGGGGGGGGGGGGGGTGAGAAAGATGGATGGGTGGTGTGTGAGTTGTGGTACCATAAGGGGTGTTGTGGTCGACAGAGTGCTGTATTGAGGGAAATGACAAAGAGTGAATTAAATAAGTTTACGTTTGTGTGCCCAGAGTGTGAGTAAGATGTACATGTGAGTTTGTTGTGATAAGTGAGGAAGAGTAATGGAGCATTCATGTACCTGTGTGTGAGTAAGATGTTCATATGAGTAGTGTGGAAGAGTAAAATAAAACTTTCATGTACCTATGTGTAAGTAAGATGTATGTGAGTCTGTTCTGAGGGTTGTTCTTTTTAGTATGTCAATAAACTTTAGTTCTGTCTAAGGCCCACTGTACAAAAGGAGTTCGTCTTTGCTTCTTTCCTCTTTTCAAACGCCTAGTTGTGCTTCAATTTGGGTGTGATGGTATGGGGTACATGTCTCGGTTAGGGGTCATCTTTATACACTATCTGACTAAAAACTTCACCCCACACCTACAGGAAAGGCTGGCCTCTCAACGAAACGAAATTTTGGGTCGATGTTTTTGAAAGAGCCGAAGTTATGGTAATACAAAAGTTCACTTCCGGAAATAGTCATCACAAAACACTAAGGTGACGGTATTCGGTATGCCCTGCAGGGGCTCTAGATCTAGCCTCAACACCTAACAAAAACTTCAAAAAATGGCTCCTAAACCAGGACGAAACTCTAACCGTCGAAATGACATCTAGATCTAGATCTAGAATCTAGATCTATCTCAGAAGGAAGAAAGTATGAAGCGACAGCAAGAAACATGGCTGAAAAAACACATGAAGCCCAGAAAGTGGACGCTTTCTCTAAAGCTAGACCTAGAATCTAGATATAGATCTAGATCTAAATCCAAATCCAGATCTACTATTACTATCTACTTCTTATAAACAAACACAATCAACATGCAAATGTTGTGGCAAAGATCACCCCAAAGGCAAGCAGCATTGTCCGGCCAGCACTTCTAATCTATAACTATCTGTAATTATTGTCGCAAACAGGGTCATTGGGCCAAGTTCTGCGTCAAAAAGCAAATCGACTCAAAGAAATCGAACAATAGTCAAAACAAAAAGCATCAGTTCAAGAGAGTATACACGGTAGGCAATGGACACGAAGGGGAAACAGATGACAGTGACCTTGCATACGATACCATCACCATTGGCGCTATGTCAAGCAGTGAAGCCTTTGCAGGAATATCCTTTCAAGCCCCAAATCAAGGCGGCCCATGCAGAAACATCAAATTTAAGATTGACACCGGAGCAGCGGGGAACACCTTGCCCCTTCGCTTATTAAAAAACGTTTTCAATGATCAAGTAGACAAGGTAACAGGTCTACCCTTCCAGGAATTCCAAGACAATGCAAAGCACATCAGACTGACAGCCTATAATGGCACCAGCATCAAATGTCTTGGAAAAATTGAAATGACGATGAAGTACAAAGGATAGTGATTGGGTACCTGCACAATTCTACATCGTTGATGACGACCGTGCGGCAATAGCAGGTCTCAAACTTTGCAAGCAATTGAAGATTGTGAGCATCAACAACATCACTGTAGCACCACCCATCAACAAAGACAACAGTGACCTCAAGCAAGCGTTCCCAGATCAGTTTGATCGCATCGGAAAATTACAAGGAAAAGCAAAGCTTTATTTGAAGGATGATACAGAACCCAAGATTGATGCTCCACGGAAATACTCCATACACACAAAAGAAAAACTCAAGCAAGAGTTGGATAGAATGGAAGCCCAAGGAATCATAAGGAAAGCCACGGAACACTCTGACTGGTGCAGCAGCATCACCACAGTCAAAAAAACAAACGGATACATACGAGTCTGTCTAGTTCCAAAACATCTTAACAACCTCAAACGCTGTCCTCACAAGACAAACACATTGGAAGAAATAACCCACAACTTTCATAGATCTCAATTCTCCTCTAAGCCGGATGCTATGAAGGGATTTTGGAGTGTAGAGCTTGATGAAGATAGTCAACTCTTGACAACATTCCGTACGCCCATAGGAAGGTATTGTTATCAAAGACTACCCTTTGGACTCAACGTCAGCCAAGACATCTTTGAGCAGAAGATCGACCAGATCATTGAGAACTGCCCTGGAACAGTCAGTATCCATGACGATATCGTAGTCTATGGCAAAACAGAAAAGGAACACGATTACAACCTCATATAGCTTATGAACGAAGCTAAGAAAAATGGTCTTTTGTTCAACAGACAGAAATGTCTGATCTAACAGAAAGAAATCATTTTTTAAAAAATGATATTCACAACAGGAGTGAAGCCAGATCCTTAAAAAGTTGAATACATTCATGCAATGCTTACCCCAACAAACAAGAAAGAACAGTTCATGGGTGCAATAAACTATCTCTCACCATTCATCAACAACTTGTCTGCAAAATCAGAACCCCTGAGAAAGTTACTCCAACAGAACACAACTTTCGAGTGGTCTGAAGATTATGAATAGGCTACATATTCAACGACATGAAAACCATAATATCAAAAGAAGCAAGTCTAAAATACTATGACATGGAAGCACCAACATCTGATGGTTGACGCAAGTCTGAGAGGACTTGGTGCTGTCATTCTACAACCAGTGAAAGCAGAATATAGATATTCTGAAACACTACCCCCAATCACTTATGCAAGCAAATCTCTAACTTCTGGAGAAACAAAACTGGCCAACATTGAGAGAGAAATGTTAGCAACCCGATTTCGAGTGAAAAGGTTCCACACTTACCTCAACGGTTGACCCTTCACCCTACTCTCCGATCACAAACCTCTCGAAATGATCACAAAGAAACCGCTCTCATCAGCACCAGCAAGACTGCAAGCATTGCTTTTGGAAATGCAAGGATATGACGACCAGACAAAGTATATCCCAGGTACAGAAAGTCGGACTAGCTGATACCCTCAGCAGATTACCAAACGGATCAAAAACAGATTCATTGTTACCTGACATTCAGATTGACACAACCAAATTCACAGAACACAGGCAAACTGAACTCAGACAGCACTCAGCAAGAGACCCTATCATCAACAGTTTGAAGGAAATTATTTATCAAGGATGGCCTGAGACAATCAAAGAAGTTCTTTCGAATATCCGACCTTATTGGTCCATGAGGGATGAACTTTCAATTGACAATGGACTGGTATTCAAAGGAGAAAGAACCCTAATTCCAGAAAACCAAAGACCAGAAATCCTTCGTAACCTGCACACAAGTCATATAGGACTTCATAAAACAATTCTGAGAGCAAAGTCTGACGTCTTTTGGCCTAACATGAATAAAGACATTGAACAAATGTGTCAGAAAAGTGAAAATTGCCAAAAACATGCTTCCAGACAACAGCCGGAAACCCTTATCCAAACGGATATTCCACCACGACAATGGTGTACTATTGGCTCCGACATTTTCACTTTCAACAAAGCTTAATATTTGATTATAGCAGACTACTACTCAAAATTTCCTATAGTGGAAGAACTTCCAACACCATGCTCTGCAAAAAACGTTGCAGAAATATTCAAGAAGTATTGTGCTATGTTCGGAATACCTGAAATTATCAGATCCGATAATGGACCTCATTTCACAGGAACAGCCTTTAACGACTTCACTTGTCGGTGGAACATCAACCATATCACGTCATCACCAAGATATCCAAAATCAAATGGATTTATTGAGAGACAAATACAAACAGTGAAAGTCAACGTGAAGAAAGCTCATGAGTGTCAAGAAGATTTACAACTCACACTCTTACGCCTAAGAACAACACCCATCAGCAACAAAATGAACAGTCCAGCTGAAATCATGTTTAACAGAAAAGTGAAAGACACTCTACCTTCAAAGATTCAATATAAGTCTAAACAAAGAGACGAGGTAAATGAAGAACTCACTAAAAGACAAAATGTTCAAAAACACCATCATGATAGAACTGCTAAAGACCTTCCACCTCTGTATGTCGGTCAACGGGTGACAACCCTCGATCCGGATACAAATCTTTGGAAAAGAGCAAAGGTAGAAAAACAACTGAAAGAGCCAATGAGCTATCTCGCCAGGAAAGATAATGGCAACGTAGTGAGAAGGAACAGGGTACAACTAAAAAAAAAAAAATCATCATCACCCGAAACCCAGATTAAGCCAAACAAGCGATCGAGAAGGATACTCTCCGCGATCGCAGGCCGGGTTCCCAAACCCACCTACTCTCACTCTCAGTGAGCCCAAAACCATGGCTCCAAGGACGCCGGGCAATAACAATCACACAAACGCAACATTGCAGCGACCGCTAACACCTTGATACTCACACCTCTCTGCAATAATGACACTAAGTTAATGTTCTTAGAAGAACAATTGATCATGAGATCATTATCCCTCTGTTTGTCTAATTGATGATACACCAATACTACGTCTACTGTGGAAAACGAACTAAACAAATTAACCGAAACATTATAAACATTGTTTTCAAACCAGAGAATTGACATTCAGAAGCGCCTACCAGAAGTCCAAAGTCTCATGGACATTCTATGAACATTCTATAAATTGTGTATTGGATACGAACAACATAGTTAATTACATTGTGTTATACGAGGTGGCTAAATCTGTTTTCAAGTCCTACCTCAAGGTTTGCATGGGATTGTGCTATTATTGTGGTATTCAATGTTTAAAATGCAGTGATTTTGAAATTTGTGAAGTAGACAGTAGACCTTATTAGCGCCGACTCTTTGCAGGGGATCTATTACTACTATTAGATCTATACATGTACATGTATTGCGAGTTTCAAATGTTAAGTTTGCATTATTATAGGTTGAGTTGAGTGAAAGGTCTCTTTTGCTGTTAATAACAATCAAGTGTGCACGGAGCTTTGAATGTTTGACTCACTTGGTATCACAATATTGATTAACTGATAAAAGTATAAAAATGTCAAATACGTCCATCTTGTGGGTAAACATAATATCACCTTTTATTATTTTTAAATGGGGATGTAGAGTGTACTAATAGGCAAAATCAGGTTGGCAGTCAACTCGTATAAAATCTGCCCACTAATAGTAATAAGTCTGTTTGGCAGGGTTGCCACTCCTGGGTTTTTGAACCCAGATCTGGGTATTTCAACTTGGGTCCTGGGTTCTGGGAAGGTACAAGGGAAATTTGAGTAAATCTGGGTTCTTGGCTCCATCAGAGCCAATACAAGCCAAATTAGGCTAGGACACAAGGCATAATAGGCTAAGATTTTTTTTTTAAGTAGTCGTAGGCTACATTACATATTGTGTTGTCATTAAAATATGGCGTACTGCACACGCTGTTAGCAATGTTATTTTCAATGTTGGAGTATCTCAAGCCTTTTTTTTCCTTATATAAGCTATGTATCTGGGTTTGTGGACTGAAATCTGGGTTTATTTTGACCCAAATTTGGCCGGATCTGGGTTTGTGTCAAAATAGAGAGTGGCAACTGGCAACCCTGCTGTTTGTTGGCGCTAATTCTTCCTTATCCGGTCACGAAAATAAACATGTCTTACCCGATCACCTGAGTCGAGTTCAGATCGATGCTCAAAGTAGCATTACATGATACAGAGGGGAAAAACGACGGTAGTCACAAAGGGAAAATCGTGACAGTATCAATTTTGAACACTTGTGACTCAAAATTGTATTTCTGTTCAACTGTTGGTTAATTATTATGATGAATTTCGGTGATATCATGTGTAGGCCTACAAGTTTTAATTATACAAGTCTACAAGTGGCTAATTAATCATCTATGGCATCGCGCCGGTCAATAGATTTCATATTCATCAATTCTTAAAAATAAACCACCAGTTAAACGGCTATGAAGTTACGAGTCCACACATTTTTAAAATTGGCACCCTCACAATTTCCAGTTTGTGACTGCAGATGTTTTTCTCCTGTGCTCTTCAAATTTTCGATCGGTAGAATAGATCTAGAATCTAGATCTAGATCTAGATCTAGATTATAGATCTAGATCTAGATCTAGATCTAGATCTAGATTTCTACAACCTCTGGTACAACATCAATAAGGCTCATGAGTCATAGAGTTACCTCCTTTTTAAACTTTAGTGTACATCTATGGTTAGGCCTATAAATCGGCCCGCCGTCGAGGGCACATCTAGATTCTCTAGATCTATTATTATTATTATTATTATTATCATCCTGATTATGCCTACTATTATCAATATAAATAATATTATTATAGATCTAGATCTAGATCTAGATCTAGTTGTTGTTATTAATACCTTATTATTATAATTTGTGATAAGGAAAATGTTGTTTTAAATAAAATTTATAAGTTCTTCTCATGACTATCAATTAACTCTACGTAATAAGTATGAAAATGTTTGTACTGTGACTTATTTTATTTTCTATGCTTTCTTTTTTCGTGCGCCGGATAGACGAGAGTAATTTAATTTAAAAAATCGATAAAACTGCGAATGCTTTCTTGAACGACGGTCTTTGTGCGGCTATCAACTTCCGCTTCTCAGTTGGTATTTATGTCGTCAACGCCTTTGACGAGATCCTCTCTGTCAACTGCTCGGGACGCGAGCATGAGTTATAATTTCTTGTAGTGTAAGTGTGTGAGTGGATGTGATCGGGAACTCGATTTGCTTCCCCTGCTCCCTGTTCCTCCACTTCATAAGGTACACTTTGGTTGTGGTGTATAAGTGTTTCTAGATCTAAATCTAGATCAAAATAAGAGCAGTTGACGAGTTGGCATTGAAACCCCGAGTACACAAATCCGAATCGTGACAAAATCAAATCAGGAGTAACAATAGATCATCTAGAATCTAGGCCAGTCCTGTACTTGTGCTGTATTATTGCTATAAATTTCGCTTCTTCAGAATGTGTTGTGCGCGAACTAGGCCCGGTTTCTTGAAATATAATCTCCCCCCCCCCCCCCTTCACCCCCACCCCCCCAGCCTCAGTCAGTATTTCAGGCTGCAATTGTTAGTTATTTAGTGTGGTTTTGTAGCTCTGTCTGTAGTCTGTACTGTTAGTGTTACTGTAGAGGCTTTCTTCAGCCTCCTGACTGTGTCAATAATCTGTAGTTAGACTTAGGTAGGCATGACATGTTGTTTGCATGGCATTTATAATTGATAATTTAACTGATTCCATCCCTGATTTTTTCAGGCTCTGGACAGAATTATTTTTCCCTCTTGAACAGTTTTAGACCTGCAGGGCTTGAATTAGGTGTTCAAGAGGGCAGGCAAAAATTGCCTAGGTATGGCCTAAAAATTAGAGAGGGCATCGAGGCAATTTGCCAGGGCACCAAGGCAAAATTCACAGGGGATCATTTTGTTGATTTAAAGTTGGTAATACTGGGTCATGCATCACAGCGTTTATAACAATTCAATTTATTCTTACTCTCTACAAAAGTATAAAGTTATTGGAACATTATAAAATTTGTAAAATTATGAATGAAAAGTAAGTAGATTCTAGAATCTAAATCACAGTAAAATCACATCAAAACAAAAGCACTAAAAGTCACAGTTTTAAATCAGACGATCACGATTGCATCTGACATAAATGCCTTTATGACTACCCCTCATTGATTGGATTAAAATGCATTTATGTGTATGACTGTTGGAAATAGGGCACAATAGAAAATAGTGAATGATTTGACCAATTAGGTAAGACATTGATCATTTTATTAATGAGATTCAAACAGAGTGGTTTTCAGGCGGTGTAGTGATAAAATGAAAACAAATTTTGAACTTGCATGTGTAAGAAAATGAGGAGTGAAAACAACTTATGAACTTGTACGGAAAAAAAAGAATGAATAATTTAAAACAGTTGTTAAACAGTTAATGAGGTTATGACTATGATAAGTGAAAACAAGTTTTAAAAATATATATATGTGTTGTATAAAAAAGACCTAAACAATCAGCATGTCATATATGACTTAATGACTGGATCAGAATATTGAAAATATGTTTGGCACACACAATATAGAAAAGGACTGGCATACTGAGGTTTGGTTATCATTGGTGTGAGTGTGTTTGCACTAGCCTTGACAACTGTCAAGCTGAGCAGTGTCTGAAGTTTTGATGAGATTTCAGACAACTCTGACAGGATGTCTTTATACCCCCCCCCCCCCCCCCCCCCCTTTCCTCACGTGTATCTTAGAAATAAAAAAAAATCAATAATTTCCCCCTATTCCGGAGTCCCATAATTCGCGGCGTTCAGACTTTGAATGAACTTTGGTGACCCCAACAACCGGTGCTCACACGATGCCGTATCTTGTGATGTAGGTTCAATGACCGGTCACGATGGCGAACCCGACAAGACGCTTGTACAATTGTATAACTTTCTTTTCTTTTTTTTCCACAAGTGACAGCACAGGACAAATTATATTGATTTATTTTCATGGCGTCACATTAAAAAAAATTAAAAACAAGGGCACGGCAAAAATTGCCGCGGTTGACCCTGTGATTTTAAGGGCATTGCGGCAAATTGCAAAGGCACCAAGGCAAATTGCCGCGGTGCCGTGGTCTATTTCAAGCCCTGGACCTGGGGTGCATCTATCTCTATATATGCACTACTGTGAAGCTCTAGAAGTTACTCTAAATGTAGGCCTATTGTCATCAAACTGATGGGAATCAGAATAGAGGAATCTGTTTACCATTTTAATGATCTAGGTCTAGATCTATAAGCTGTTCATATTGTATTTTCCCTCAAACAAAAATGAATGAGGAAAAAAAATTGCGCAACACGTCTTCGAAAATTTGGACTTTGAAGTTAGAAAAGGTGGTACTTTTTCGGTAGTTCCCACATCCCCCTTATTTGAGCCTAGATTTACGTCTGACGTTTGATGCGCGGCGAGCTAAGATATCCAACCTAAAAACTGCAAAACATTAAATTATGCTAAAATCAGGGGGGGCCCCTGAAACCCCTCACCGTATTTTTATTAGAAGGTCAGGGGAATAAGCCCCCTGAAACCCCCCTACTCTTGGGGCCAAAACCCGTGAATAACAATTGCGGGGTGGGAACTACCGAAAAAGCGACGAAAAGGCTACCGCTTTTTCTCAGCCCTACAAGTCCTTAAATATAATCCATAGAGGAAAACACAAAATTGTAGCGATATCACCCTAGCACACATTTATGCAAGAAATTCACAAATTTCGTCGAATAGCTTTCTTTGAAGAGCCTTTTTACTTTTTATTACACCAGGCTACATGTTTTTTACCTTTAGATCTAGCCTACATATAGTGACAACAAAACAACGATTTTTGCAAGAATTTCGCGTCGTTTCGATTGATATTGGCGCTCAGAGATTGAGGTCAGTTTTTAGTTTGTAAACAAGTTCTACTTCTTTTCGACAACTTAAAAAGAAGGAACTACTATGTTAAAAAGTGCACATTTGTTTCGGATTTCATTGAGCCGCTCACAGCGGTCGAATGGAGTCAGCAGAAAAACTCAAAGCCGCTGTCAGCGGCCGATTGGACAGAATCAGTGAATGACTGGTTACTCTCCCAGAAAAATAAAAACTGGGGACAAGAATAGAGAGATATGTTTGAGTAGATTGAGCAAAAAGAAGCACCCTCACTTGCCACTGGAACACAATTAGTAGCTCCACTGAGATCTACTTATGTGGTCAGTTAGTAGAATTAAATCTAGGCTAGATCTAGGTCTAGTAGCGAAAGACTGAGTCTCAACAGTTTTAATAAAGTAGGCCTACTGACAGACACCACGGAAAAAAGTAGATGATCTCGGGCTTCCACAACGAGCGACCACCCCAGCAAACACAATATAAAAGAGTCCTAACCCTAACCCTCTATTCTACTTCTGTCTCATAGTGGTCGCTCGTTACGGAAGTCCTCCCAAAAAGTAGATCTAGGACATTTCCATTCCATGTGTCCATCAACCACCCACAAGAAAGACTGTTCTGTTTAGATTTCAGACAGTCTCCATACACATTGCAAAATCAGTGGCTTGAAGTCTTTTGGTTATTATGATAGATTTCACTGCTATCATGTGTAGGCCTACATTTTTTAATGATAAAAGTGGCTATTCTATGGCGTCACACTGGTCAATAGATTTTTTTATGGCTATTTTTCTGTGTCAGGTATAATTGCATCCTGTCGCTTCTCCACTGCTTTCCATGTCCCCTGTCGCCACGTTATGGCCATTATTGTTGCCACTGAGTTCAGTGTACAAGTTCTGGCTGTGACTGAGGGTTGCTGGCGTTTCTGGTGCGGTCACCTGTGACACAGAAATTCCTCCTCCTTCCGTCACTGGAGCTTTCATTGAGTAGTGGCTGCGTGTCCACCTATGATATCGCGTTCTGGTTCTGAAGAAATGCCGACCCTGATGAGTGTTTTCGTAAGGCCATAGCTGACATGCCGACAGGGGAGATGGAAAGCTGTGGAGAAGCGACGTGTGCAACTATACGTGTCGCCAGAGAATAGCCATCGATCTACTGAACGACGTGACACCAGAGAATAGCCACTTGCTTTAAAAAGTATTACAAAGTTCATAAAGAACCATTTTCAGGACTTAAAAATTTGTTTTGCTGCTACTGTTTGTTCGCTGTGATGTGACTATGTGTGTGACATGTGGTAGACTAATAAAATTTGTAAAACTAGCCTACTATTAACAGACTTGCCGACCTGTAAGCAATTGAGTATTGTAGTCTGCAAAACTGTCAGCAATACAAGTAAAAATATGACATGCGTCAAAACAATTAATACGCATCTTTTGATTTTCCGGTTGTATGATCGCCATTTGCTCGAAACCTGCTGTCGAACCCTACTCTCCTTGTGAAAGGCCAGGAATTTGTCGATGTTGCCCGGTTCCACATAGTTCGAGTACTCATAGGGAGTTGAGAATACGCGAGCAATTTCAAAGTTCTCTTGTTTTTTCTCCATCAAGTATCGGAATTGGAAATTAATTCGCGTTCGATGATAGGATTTTGTTTGCGTTCAGGCCTTTGTTCAGGTGATTCTCAGAATCAGCGTTTCATTTTCAAAATAAATTAAGCAAAATCATGATTTCCTAGCCTGAAAAATAAGCAAACTGAATATGGGGGGTTGGCAATTCTGTTAACTAATGCTAGCTTAGTACCGCGATAGTGATTGCCCATTTTCATTAAAACCAAACTAAAAGGCTTTATCTAAACATAGTTTGTTGTAAGTGGCTAGTTGGCAGTACTCTTGTGTGGTTTGCTTTCTTCTTTCCTATAAAAAACTATCGTCTTTCTCTCTCCTCGTCACCTTTTCGTGTTTGTTACTCTCTTGTAACACCTCTAATCTTCGGCACAAGACTTATACTTATAATGACCTTATTGTGTTGCAAGTGCCGTAAAACTTTTATACTATTATAACTAAAGTTTGTTGTATTATGATTTATGCTTTGTGTAATTTAATGTAAGTCTAGAAACCGTCTAAATTTACAGAAAGAACATTGCCAAATGACTTGGTTGCATAGAATCCAGGGCTGCCCGTCATTACGAGAGTATGGCAGTATCATGATGATTTAAAAAAAAAATTTAATAATGAAAATAGGATTGTAACAGATTCCTATTTTAAAGAATTTATTTGTCATTCACCTGCCCCAACCCATCTCCCCTTTCCCAGCATATGGGCCTTTAATCAATTACAATGTTTTCAGTAAAATTCACATGGAAATGTGTTTTTATATGGACATAAAATTTAAAAGAGGTAGAGCCAAAAATAAAAATTTGATATAAGATAAGACTGTCCAACCTGGCGGGAAAATGCCTGTTCCTCAGATTTCTGCATTTTGACAAGCGCCTGATTTCACCACGCTGCCTCACCTGTTATTTTTGTGAAAATACTTACTCTTCTCAATGTAATTTTTAATATGTTTTTTATATTATTATTAAGATATTATTATTTATATTTATATTGTTCCTTTTCAGTTGTCACAAAGGACACATAAGACACCGACTCCGCGTGTACAAACCTCGGTTGTTTAGACTTTGTGGATAACTTGAGCTGACATAATGGATATTTTTCTCGGAGGGTTCTACGTGCTCACTGTCATATGTGCCATCTTGTACATATGGACGCGCACGGCTCTTCCCGGCTCAACAGACCCGGCATTCGCCGTGTTCCAGAGGACGTACCTTGTGGTCTACCTGCTGGCTATGAGTGAGTAAATTATTTTTCTCAGATTGATTTCTCAGGGATGCCACTTTTCTTTTTTTTTTCTGGTATTTCCGGTATTTTGTTCCTGATTCGCTATTCCGTTATTGAAATCGAGATGGAATCTATAGTTCACTATGTACACCCTTTGGGTTTCAAATTGATATTCATATGTTAGCGAGACTGTGGCGCGTGGATTCTCAGCTATTTTTCCAATTTCCAAAAAAGTTGAGTGGCATCCCTAATTTATGAATTGTAAATTGTACAATCTGCATATGATTGCTTTTAAGGACAAGCGGGCTAACCCAGATTTTGGGTGTTTCGAGAAATCTTGACCTGCACCAAAAGTGAGCATTCCCAACCTGCCTTTAGGAATAGATTGGTTTCATTGGTGTGTATATTTGTTTGGATAAAATAGAGAAAACTCTCCTTTGTCTTTTAAAGAAACCGAACAAGGGGCAAAAACTTTACCTTTGATTTTCTCAAAACAACATTTTTCGGGATAGCCAACTGTACTAGTGCTTTTAAAAAGTGACCAAATATTCATTGGTGTCCACCTAACAGCAACGCCCTTCTGTGGAAGTAAGCTTTGGTTGTTATTAGATGGATGTTGCTGCTGACTGAATTTTCCAAAGTGGGGGGGGGGGGGGGGGGGGTAAAGTTAGCACTTTCCAGTCACACAGCCAGCAGTACAAAAAAATACCCTATCTGGTCACCCACCCAGGAGAGCGACCACAACGGACTTCATGGGCGTGGCGCAGAATACGGATAATTTTCACCGGCGCATTATTGTTCCAAGTGACCAAAAAGTGTTTAAAAAATAATGATCACACACACACACACACACACAAACACTCTCGTGGCTTTGAGGTTAAAGTGTTCGCCTCTCATTCAAAGGTCCCGGGTTCGAAACCGGGTAGCAACGGAAAAAGTTTCTTCCCTCCTTTCCTGCTCTCAAGCAATGTTCTGTCGTCTACTTTCGTCTCCACTTTCTGCTCCCACACCTCACCTCCTTTGCCCCCTCCTCTTGGCTCCTGACTCTATCTGCAGCCTTTCTACTGCTACTCCTTGTTCCTTCTTACTGTGTTTCAGCCTCACCCCTGATCTTCTGGTAGGAAAGCTCTACACTTAGCCTTCTTGGACAAGGGCGAAAAGCTTCGGAGGTTCCGTGTGGAAGTTGCGCTCGTTAGAGATCCCTTGGTGGTCTAGAGTCGATAAGGGTAGGCTTCGGCCGCCTCCCGGGCAAATTTCAAAATTTCCTACCGACTGAAAATATTTAATGTGACCCGTGTGCTCAATATGACCTTATAATGCAGTTGCGAGCGCCGTAAAATACTTACAAAACAAGACTGTTTAAGAAGGTGGCTCTTGAAGAGAGGGTGTGAACAGAGCTTACACCTCAGTGTTGTGCTTTTTTAGTAAGCTTTTTACGGCACTTGCAACACAATAAGGTCATATAAGTGCCGGAGATTAGAGGTGTTACAAGAGAGTAACAAACGCAAAAAAGGAGAAGGGGAGATAAAGACTTAAAGATGTTTGGTAGGAAAGAAGTTCTAAGCATACCACACCAGAGCACCTGCCAATCACCCAACAGCGTTGAGCTTTTTTCAAAATCGGGCAGTTGTTTTGACAAGATTAACGAGAGAGGAGGAGGAGGAGGGATGCACACTCACTCACCACTGTAGTTAGGCCAGTGTTGGTGTTCACAGTGGGTAGTTGGCGGGTGCTCTGGTGTGGTTTGCTCCTTCTTTCCTGTCAAACATCTCTGTCGTCCTGATCCCTCCTTTTTTTTTTTTTTTTGTTTTGTTAATCTCTTGTAACACCTTTAATCTTCGGCACATATATGACCTTATTGTGTTGCAAGTGCCGTAAAACTCTTTCTAAAACTAAACTGTCTCTCAGCATTAAAGTGTTACTATAATATATTGATCTGTTTGGCCAGATGTTCAGAATCTTTTGATGACTCAACTTTCAGTTATTCGAGATTAAAAAAAAAATTTCAAACAATGAGCCAGCTAGGAGGTGACCGTGACATGTTACTTTATAGATTCACGGGGAACATGGATTGTCATGATGAAATGAATCTGCCCCGTGTCGATGAAGGAAGCGAGATGTGGGTTGTTGGCAGGTGCTCTGGTGTGGTTTGCTCCTTCTTTCCTATCGAACATCTATTGTCCTGATCTCTCCTCCTTCTTTTTTGTGTTTCTTACAATCTTGTAACACCTCTAATCTTCGGCACTTATATATGACCTTATTGTGTTACAAATGCCGTAAAACTTACTAAAACAAACAAAAACAAACATCTATCGTCCTTTTCTCTCCTCCTTCTTTTTTATGTTCGTTACTCTCTTGTAACACCTCTAATTTTCTGGCGCTCGTATGACCTTATTGTGTTGCAAGTGCCGTAAAACTCTTACACTAAAACTAAACTGAAGAAGGAAGTGAGATGCTACTAGCCCTAGGCCCTGTTGGCCGACTAACTTCGTCGCCCCGACATGTTTTATCGTCTCACTGTTAACGTGGATTGTCATTGCGAAATGAGCACGCCAGATTTTGATAGAGGGAGCATGGTGTTGGCGGGGGGGGGGGGGGGGGGGGGGGGGTAGTGTAGTGTGTACTTTTGTTATTTTGGCATAGAGACAATAGAAAGTGGGTGATTGGTGGGTGCTCTGGTGTGGTTTGCTCCTTCTTTCCAAACCAAACATCTATCGTCTTGATCTCTCCTCCTCCTTTTTTGTGTTTGTTACTCTCTTGTAACACCTCTAATCTCTGGCACTTACATGACCTTGTTGTGTTGCAAGTGCGGTAAAACTCTTATTTAAAAAAAGACAATAGAAAGCCCGAAGATACAAGCACACTAACCCGTCATGTGGTCTAGTGGTTAGGCCACCGAACCCGTAATCGTGAGATTGTGAGTTCGGGGGTTCGAGCTTCAGCTCGGTCCGACGTTGTGTCCACGGGAAAGGCACTTTACTTTACACGAATTTTCCTTTTGGCTCGGTCCTTTTGTAGATGGATGTTCAACTCCGAGATAACATGGTCGCTTTAAGGGACAAGCGGGCTGAACCCAGATTTCGGGGGTTTCCAGAAATCTTGACCTACACCAAAAGTGGGCATTGCCCTACCCATAGGAGAAGTTTGGTTTCATTGGTGTGTTTATTTGTTTGGTTTTAGAGAAAACTCTCCTTGTCTTTTAAAGAAGCTGAACAAGGGACAAAAACTTAACCTTCGATTTTCTCAAAGCAGCATTTTTCGGGATAGCCCCCTTGTGCTTAAAAGCGACCACATTTCAACAGCTCATAAATAACTTACATTTTAATAGTGTTCACAGGGGAGTTTAACCTACTGTACCATTTCGCCATGTTCACACTCACAGTGACACATTCGTAGCCACTATATTTAGGAAAGTCTTTACTAGCCTTGATTCTTATCTTCCCAAGTCCTGCCTGTTCTATGGTCTGCTACGGTACTAATAATCGAGTCGTGAAGCGCATGCATACTGCCATTCATATTGAAAACCTAGTATTTAACTAAATCAAGTATTGCCACCAAACGAAAAAAAGGAGACACGTACTATTTAGAGGTGTTCCTTCCAAACTAAGATAGACATATATATCATATCGTTACCTTTTAACTGAAATCAAATTTTAATTTTTTTAAAAACGTTGAACCCCAGCATGAATTCTTTGATAACGTAATCGTTCAAGAGAACAGTACAGCTACCTCTTACTGCTGCCCCCCCCCCCCCTTCCGCATTACTCTCGTCATGGTTTTCCTCCATTCCAAAGGCAGTACATGAGATAAAGATTGCCTCTTCTATAGCTCCCACTTCCTGGTAGCCCTGGGAGCTTTACACCGAGATAACATTTCAACAGCTTGCCCAGTGACAAGGGCATGCTTCATCATGCACACAACAATAAATTCTTTTGAATACATTTACACCCGTACACCAAATTTGACACACAGGAGCACATTATGCACAAAATGACAATCACAGGGGCCGTCGTTATGTTCGGCACAGAAGCCAGACAAACAGACAATAGTGGTTGGGTGGCGGGAGCTTTGACGTGGTTTTCTCCTTCTTTCTTATCAAACATTATTATTATACTTCAATTGTCCTTATCTCTCTTCCTTTTTGGCCTTTGTAACTCATTTGTAACACCTCTCTATTCTGCGGCACTTTTATGATGTGACCTGCAAGTGCTGTAAAACGGTTATTAAACAAAAAAACAATCTCTTGTAGCACCTCTATTCTTCGGCTCTTATTATAATACGTTGATGGTTGGCGGGTGCTCCGGTGTGGTTTGCTCCTTCTTTCCTATCAAACATCTATCGTCCTGATTTATCATTCTTTTCTGTGTTTGTTACTCTCTTGTAACACCTCTAGTCTTCGGCACTTACATGCCCTTATTGTGTTGCAAATGCCGTAAGACTTTTACGAATACTAAAACTTAACTTATAATACGAGCTATTTGTGTTGCAGGAATGCTGTCAATCTGGTCCTCAAACTAAACTGGTGGGTGGTTGGCGGGTGCTCTTGTGTCTCTATCTCCCCTCCTTCTTTTTGTGTTTATTACTCTCTTGTAGCACCTCTAATCTTCGGCACTTATATGACCTTATTGTGTTGCAAGTGCCGTAAAAGTCTTACTAAAACTAAAAACTAAACTGAAACATGCCTATATATCCTGTTTGTCTCCCCACATTACCCTGTGGGTGCAGAACATTGCAGTCTCTCTCTCTCTCTCTCTCTCTCTCTCTCTCTCTCTCTCTCTCTCC